CCCCCCCGCCCGCGCTTGGACCGCGGCTTCCAGGAAGCTATGGCGCAAGCAAGTCATGCGCATGGGCGCTTGTCGTTTGTTGTAAAGCAGGCAAGCAGACGCGCTGGAAAACTGCAAGACGTGAATGGTGAAGGCTTATGTTGAAGGCTTATATGTTGGACTGCTGCTTGCTGCTGAAGCCTCCCGCCGGCAGGCTATGTCGCAGCACATTGGGCACGGCACCGCACTCTGTTGTCGCGCCGTAGACATCTTGGTTGTAGCAGGCATTGGAAAACTGCTAGATGTCCATGCTGAGAAGGAAGCTCGACTTGTGAGATGCGGTGAGCCTGCTTGCGGCTTCGGGGGAGAGGCGCTGTGCCCTCCCCAAAGCAGCGCTCGCATCAGCTCTTGCATACGGCGCCGGAAAGAAGCTGTCGCAGAAAACACCGGTCAAACAAGCTGTCGCAGAAAACACCGGTCAACCGTTGCAAAAAACACCGGGCAACCGTCGCAAAAAACACCGGGTGGCGGTCACTGACGCAAAAAACACCGGTCACAGCTTGGAAAAACACCATACAACATAACTGTCTGGAAATACCCTGATTACTGTTGCAATTTACCCTAGTCCCCTGGTTTGACTCCCAACATGAACAGAATATAGCCGAACAAAGTGCCTCAACCTAACAGGGTCTCGGGCTCCGGGTTTTGACACACAGCCATATATAGGTAATTACCACACGTATCTTTTCTTTTGAGGTTCGGCTCTGTGGAAACTTCTTCCACTCCTGACATCGGGACGATGTGTGTCGCACAATGCGGACCTTTGCAGCCAAAGCTAAGCACGACTTAGCCTTGAACGCCCGAGTCTTCCAAATGCAGTGTAGCACTCAATTTCATGAGACTGAAACATGCATCGAACCCGGGCTGCTACATCTTCACCAACCAATCACTCGTAACATGTCCCTTTTCTTCACTGGGGCATCACACATTCTCAGCCGTCACAATGATCTCTTGCAGCTCTTTCTGTCGATTGCGAGCTTCTTCGATCTCCAACCTCACACGACCACGAAGAAACCCCCAAAGAGCCCCATGATTCTGAGCTGATAGGTTTGGGAATCACCGAATCTATGGGTCTTCCTTAACATCCTGCCAAGCAAGTAAGGAAAATGGCTTACATAATCTTACGTAGGATGTTTTGTTGCTTTGATGCCAGCCAAGCTGCTCTTCCGCAGATTTGCGGCTCAGGCGTGGGCCCTCCCGTCGCTTGGGCTCTGCGAAAAGGGGTGCTGGGCCAAACCACTCCATGGCCGGAGTCAAGAGCCGCCGCGAGTCCACTCGTCCCACCCATGGCGGCCAGTTGAGCGGGAGTCGAAGTGGTACCCCCCCACACCGGGGTGTTGTGAAAGTAAGTAATTTGGCCCATGATGGCCGGTCGGTAGCTGTTGCCCGCCTTCGGGGCCGGAAGCAACACATTCGTCAAACAAGAGTTGGTTCGGTGAAGATGTTCCACTGAGGCTTGAGATGTGAAGGATTTCTTTTGGGCTTGTCTTTCGTTGGGGGCAACACCCCCCACACAGCAACTTGCTAACCCTGCTCATGGTTGCAAACAAAGTGCAATGTACATTGCTCAAATTGGTTCAATTCCTCTCATAAAAACTCACAATGTACTACAGTACGTACATTGCTCAAATCCTTCCGGCCCACCCTTTGAAGCCATGAAGACTGTTTTCAGACCCTCAACAGTTCCCTCATCCGATTCTGGAATATCGGAGGTGAAGGGAAATGGTGGCTTGACACACAAGTCTGTAGAGTTTCGTGCAAGCAAAAATAACCTTCGTTTGGACACGAAGTTAGTATTGCTTCTATCCATCAATCAGGTATATATATATAGTTATATATAGTATATCAATATGTCAGTACTAATTGTAGACTTATGTATCTCTGCGATGCTGTGCAAATAACGCTGCTAGCGGCCCTTCAGTTCAGTCTGCCTCATGACCTCATGATACTGCCATGCTTGCAGGTCTTCTGCTTTGATGCAGCTGCGAACAAATCCATCGTCAAATTCAGCAGGGCAAATCAGCTGCAACTAGGCATTGAACTAGGGCACCGACCATCACCTACCAACCTGTATCAATCAAGCTTTTAGTGGACATGTACGGACCGAGAATGATTCTGGACCGTCCATCAGAACATCCCTCTGCCGCCGAGTCATGCGGTGCAAGATGGGAGGTCCGAAAACTGGACGAGAAACAAACATGCTTACACCGCCCTTAGACAAAGAGGGATGCACCAATCAAAGGTTGATCGGGGTCGAACTGGTGGCCTAACGGTGACCGCTTCCAAAAGCATGGTATGCTGTGGCAGGGGAGGGAGGATCCTGCCACTCACTTAGTTGATGTTCCTGATTCCCATTTCCATCCCTTTCCGAAATGTTGTGCAGGGAAGGCATGCGATGAGATCATGGGATGGAAGGTGGATGAAGGTGGTAGAATTCTAGGGATGCGGCTGTGGTTTGACCACTTTCTATTGGACCGTGCTTGCTCCTCTGCATCACCCGCAAGTAGTTCAAAAGGAAAAAGCAAAACATATATATATATATTATATTTATTTATTATACTCTATTAAATTGCATTATGTTACAATGTACAGGAAATATGTATAGCGTGGCACCTTGGACTTTTAGATGCCAAATCAATCTCTTGGCAACGAGTCGGGGGCCGGAATCTTAAGGCTGTGCAGACCGCTGTGAAACGCATCGGCGAGCACAACACTGGGCCGTCCAGGTGTGCCAAGTGGCACCGGCGTCCACTGCCACCCCGCCGAGTGGGAGAAAGGCCTGGGCTCTGCGAGGTGCCGCACGACGATGTACCGGGACGTCCGGGTGTGAAGATGGAAGCAACAGTCATCATGGGTCATCGATAGTTATCTACATCGTCTTGTCAGTATATAATTGTGCTTATACGTATATATTTATATCTTGTATGACTCATCTCGCTCATCAGTCTTTCTCCTAACCTACTGAGACCCTTAGCTGGGGGTGGGAAAACGCCCACCTGTACGCTTCAAGTCCTGACCGAGTCCTTCGGTCCCACCTGAAGCAGGTCAACCTCTGGTTGCATCCAACGGCCCTCGCTGATCAGCTGATGCCCCACAGTCATGTCCTCGGAAAGAGCGAAGAACACACCTAGCGTGTTGAAGGACGTGAGCAGCTGTGCTTATGATTGGTTTTAGTGTCTGTAGGTCCACCATTCCTGCGAGACCGGTGATCAGTAGATGACCTTGTTGTTGGACAAACGCAGAAATCATCCTATTGTTGAATGGGCACCTGCACCGAAGACAATGCAGGCTTTGCCGCCACCTGGGTCACCTGAGCCTTCCATCTTCGCGCCGTGGCGCGTAGGCCGTGGCCAGGAGCGAGAACTCGCGCCCAGCAGAGCGAGGCCGCAGGAGCGTGGGGTAGTGCGCCTCGGTGATGGCGTCGTCGGACCCACGCGGCGACCCGAGTGATGGCTGGGCGAAAGCGTCGAGTCACAAAGGACCCTTCAAGTGGAGACTTGCTGGTGGTTGGAAGTGATTTAGACAATGAAGAACGAGTCACCAAATGTTGGTCGGAGCAAAAAAGATGCAACCTGGCACGAGGTCTCTATAGTTACTCAGTTGTGCCGGTGGTATCCAGGAATGTGCAGGAAGATGCAGGAGGGCCATCAAAGTGCTTATTATTAGGTCCCTCTACTCAAGTTGAGGCGATCTGATCTGCATCCGTGCTGTATATTTATTATACATTGAGAGCCAGGCTCATGCATAAACTCCCATGCCAGCATGTTGGGGGGTGTCATCATGTTATGGATGCCCATGGATGCCCTGCACGTCAATACAACTTGAGGCCGAGGGTAGGTGACGAAAGCTAGCAGGGGTGCATCCGGACTGGTGGGACATCAAGCGGAGTGAGGCAAATGCTCATGAGGTAAAACGTTGTGAACATGTAAGACACACAAACAGCAATGACACAGCCAACCTTCGAATTGAAGTCCCCGACAATTAAGGAAGCGTGGCTGGACTTTGCCACACTGTTCGATGCATCCGATGTGTTCACGAACCTGTGAGCTTGTTGAATCTGTTGCACCGTATCCCAAAACCTCCACGGAGGAGTTGAACCAGTGATGCCATAAAAGGTGCCCAAGAGGTGTCCCAGAGGCAAAACAAAGCTGCTTGCATGATTTGTTTGGTTTCTTCTATCGATGTCGATGTCATGAACATGTGAGCTTGTTGAATCTGTTGCACCGTATCCCGGAGGAGTTAAGCCAAAGTGGATGCCATAAGAGATGCCCGAGAGGTGTCCCAGAGGCGTCCGAGGGGGGAGTTGAACCCACGGGGGGGGGCCCCCCTACATATGAAGTTTTCACGTGATGCGGCGATCCCGAGGATTCCAGCCCCTCACTTGCTAAAGCAAGGACAACTCCAGCTAGCTGGTGCTAGCTTTCGTGATGAGTTCATGCCAAGAAGCCCCGCCAACTATGGCGCTGGCTCCACCCCCAAGATCATCTCCTTTCTTCTCCGCCTGGGCGATTGGAATCCGGGTGCCGAATCTGTGTGTCGATGCGTGCCAGGGAGACAAACAATCAATGGCTGCTTGGGGATAACCCTCCATCCTGCACCCCAAGCGGATCCTGCTCACCAGGTCACGCAAGCAGGGCAACTGGCGCTGGGCGTCGGCCGTGCTTGTTCCAAGCGGACCTTGAGACGCGCAGCGAATCCAGTGAAGGTCAGGCATGGTCAAGCCATCTGGAAACAGGGGGCCAAGGAAGATCCATGTCCTAGAACTTCCTAGAACTGTCTTGTCTAGTTCCCAGTGGCTCTTCAAACTAGCAAGCCTTTGCCGGGAAAACATTCCTTCCTCCTTCAAAAACATTGGCTGCCATGCGGGCACAACTCCCTCTGTGCCTCTATGTTCAAGCACTCGGGGTAGCACACATCGGCCCAAATGTTCGCATTGGATAGAATTCGAGCTAGGTAAAAGCTAGCTGTGCAAATAATGCTGCTTGGCATGTATACATACGGCTCAAACATCCTACCCTCCGATACTCTGGTTGGTAGTTCGCCTGTGACCCCAGGCCCATACCAGGTACCACTTGCTTGATCCAAACAACTTGTACAATGCTCGGCTGACTCTACTGCCCTTGAAGCTGGGTTAGTTCCAGTGCATTTGGGTTCACCCAACCTTGCCCACCAGTCAATACAACCATGACTTCGCTGCTGTCCCTCTCTTTTCAGGATCCTTTTTCTCCATGGACCGCTGCAACTCTCCATCGGCCTCACGAGGGAGCAGTCGAGCAGGCGATGTAGAACCGACTCCTGTGCCACATGTGCTCAGTTGAGGGGCCCCTCAACCAAAGAATCTGCCGGTTCACCTGGTCGTTGCATCTGTTCGGAGTGGAGTTTCGGAAGATCATGGGGAAATCCGTCTTCGCAAAGAAGCAGTTTTGCAGGTGATCCCTCCAGGAAATGAAGCACTGGCCAACTGTCCTTGCGTCATGCCCAGCTGCCCAAGACAATGCGGTACTTTATATATACAATTATATATATATAGTAATCATCGACGCATATCGATGCTGCTTTCGCAGGATGCTTTCGGGTGCTGTCCCCAAACCTTCCATCCCCCCCGACGTCCACCGAAGCCTTGCACCGACGTCGAGCAGTGGAAGGTCCGTTCGACACTGGTCCGTGCCTCATCCGCTCGAAGCCTGGACTCGCTCCAGGAAAAGCACCTGGCCGGACGTCGTATCCGGTGGTCTTCGTGTCCACCACTCTTGGTGTCTAGGACTTGGTCCAATGGTGGCGAACTCCGACCCATCTGATCCGACCAATACGTGTGGAAGAACGGTGGCATCCACAAGTGCCCTTCAAAGGATTCATCCCATTCAGCGCAGTCCCTTCTAAGGAGACAATCTCAAGGGCCTCAAGGATTTCTGGTAAGGGATTCTGGGATCCTTTTCGCTAGCACCAGCTGAGCAGGTCCAGGTCCAAAGAGGAAAACAGTCCGATCGCCAAAGGAGCTTGTGCACTTCAAAATTGTATCACGAGGGAAAGTTTCTTCAATATCAAAGGCGTGCCACCATTCTGCAGGACACTGCCGGAACCCCCATGATACCATTTCCTCTCCTTCCTTGGCTATGCTCCCAGATTTTTCTGGCACTGGAGGTGGAGAATGCCGAATCATCTTGAACAACATGATGTATGGCTCCTTCCTGTCCCTGGCTCCACTGGCGACCAATCTGGCATGCGACATAAGCTCCTTCGTTTAAAGCTTCACGTGCTAAGTCCGCTGAATCCACTTTCCTGGCCACGTTCGAATCCGAAGCCGACAATCAGTGGATTTCTTCGCCACGACAAAATGTGTTGCATTTGTTTGACCAGAGTTTCTTGCCTCTAACATATATATATAGCTTGAAACATCTTGGAACTGTCTCAGAGGTCTTCCATTGAGTTGGAGTTTCTGTGAGGTCTGCTGTTTTCGAAAGGGCTTGGCCTTGGACCTGCCTTTACCCTTCCTCGGTGTTTCCTTGTGTTTGTTCTATGTATAGGTTCACTCCAAGGTTCCGAACCCTCGCATCATCAAAGCAATACCAGTTCTGAGACGCGTGATGCCAGCAATACCTTCAGATCTCGGGGGTGCGATGGGATCCCAACAAAGTCCTGGAGTGTTGAGGAGCGTCTCAAATGATCTATGCCCCAAAAGTATCGAGCAAATCTTAAGACCCAAACACCACTCGTGTGAGTTGGCATGGAATAGATTCAATACATATATATATATAACAATAATTAACAATATATATTTTCTGTTCTCTATTCCGAGCCATTCCACCGCCCTTTCCAGGAACTT